AAAAAACTCAGTCCATATTTGTCCACATTCCTGGACCCAAGAAGGATTTGGAAAGGTTTATACCCACTAAGAAGTACTAAGTACTTTCTTGAAATGTCTATGGAGGGCGCAACATGAATAAGCTGGGAAATAGCAGTCAGCGGAGCAGGTAATGTACTGACTGTCAGGGGGCTGGCAGGGTCTGCTGGGTTTTTAGAAAACTTCAATCCAGCTTACTTGAATAAAAAGCCCGTTTTAGATAAATATGTGGAAATGTCAAAAAATGACCTTGAAGGTTTCGCTGTCACCACAATAACACTTTGCCACTGTCCTAAAAGTGCCACACAAAGATTATTATTAGTGTGATTGTGCGAATGGCAACAACAGTGACTCAAATCGTGACAATGTTTACCGACATTACAGTACTTGTCACAGTACCCCATGTTGTGGTTTTACACAAGGGGCCTTCTTCATATTACACCTGTGCAGTGAGAACCCCGAACGCCTCTTCCCAGCACCAATACAGCCCATTTACGGTACGTGTGACACAGCAGCTATACGCTAGAAAGGAAAGAGGAGGTTTTACTCTGCTTGAGGAGCCTCCCTCTTCCTGCCACAAGAGTATCACTCACACAAATATGTCTAACTCTGCTCTTTAAGATCCTGTCACAGATCTTTGGTTCACACGCGAAACAGATAAGGCTCTTTGTGGCGTACACCTACGAATTAAAAACCCAAAACGGGTTTGATCTTGTTCTGGAACACTTTCTCTTGTGATCAGTGGTTTAGCAGGTTTGCATAATTGCACACGTGTTAGTGTAACATTTGCTATCGGTTTCAGGTGAAAGAAAAAAGAAAACAAACGTAGTGTTTAGATGAAAAAGTGGAAAGATAAAGCCACAGTTAGCTAAGCAAATATTGCTTGTTGTCAGAGACTTCTTTCCATAAAATCCCGATGACTTCACAGAAAGTTACTGACGCTGAATTTGAACTTACTCAGCCTGTTCGCTTTTTAGGTTTTGTTTCAGGTTTCCAAAATCAGAGCTGAGGCTTTCATATGTGCTGCTTGAGGCGTGGAAACAGACTTTTTTCTGATAAATTATTTAACCAAACATAACTGCATGACCTGCTCATCAAAGGTGTAGCTTGTTTTCAAGTATATATTTCAGCTGACCTAAATTTTCACCTGATCCCTCTAAAAAAAAAAAACTAAACAAAAAAAGACTGAATAACAAATATTTTTTTTAGATATTATTAGTGAAACCCATTTATAAGCAGATAATTATAGTTTTAGAAATAAAACGCCCTTCAGTCACAGTCACAGAGTTTTTATACACTATAGAAATCAAGATTTAGAGTAAAAAACAAGGAAAAAGGAAATTCACAATCTTTCAGGGCTTAATAAAACATGTCTTAAAATTAGGTAAATACAACTTCAGACTAACAAAAGCATGAAATATTACACAGTGTCATTAGCTCGAAGAAAACCAAAGCCAAAATGCAGAAAGTTTTTGAAAAACTAATTACACCTTTACTGCTTCCACATAAGCAAAAGTTCAGGTTTCCAATCAATCAGTTTCCAGTTTCTCCAGCAGTGATGGCGCTTAGTCTAAGGTCAAGTTGTGCACTACTCAGAGAAACTGAACAAAATAAGCCCAAGAGCTACATCTCAGACTCTACAGGCCTCAGTTAACTTTAACTGATGTTAAATGTTAAAGTTCATGACAGCATAACTAGAAAAACACTGAACAAGTACGGCTTGTCTGACAGGGTTACCGGGAAAAAGCCTCTTCTTTCTAAAAACAATAGAACAATGTCCTTTATATCAAAGTATATAGTATATCAAAGTAATCCTGCATCAAATATGAAGCTATCTGTCCAATAAGCTAAAGCTTGGCCCAGATTGTGCCATGAAATAGGGCAATGATCACAGCACAGCAGCAAATCTACAACTGAATGGCTGAAAGAAAAAGATGAGAATTCATCTACTGCAATCTACTGAAAGTACTGAAATATCCCAGTAAAGAACAGTGGGCCTAAATTCCATCGCAATAATGTGAAAGACTGATAAAGTTACACAAAAAAAAATGTACCTCATGCTACTTCAAGTTGTTGCTAAAGGAGGTTTTACAAGTGACTGATTCATGGGCTGTGCTTGCACACTGTTTCTTGGCTATGTTTTTGTTAAATAAATAATGACACCGTGTAAAATGTCATGTTTGTAGTTCCCCCAGGTTGTATTTACCTAATTGTAAGTCTGGCTAAGAACCAGATGGTTTTGTTTTATCTCTTAATACATAAAACATTGGAACTGACGGAGAGTGTGCTTTCTTTTTACTATGACTGTATGTATACTTTTACTGAAAATGATTTTTAACTATTGCAGACCACTGACGGTGACATAGGAAGATCCTCAATAAGGTGTAGTTTCAGTTCATGTTTTCTGAGTTCCCGTCAGTCTTTTCTATAGTTTGCGTTTTGTCCTGTCTACCTGTGCTTTTCTTTTTCTTTTCTCTTTCCCTTTGCCCGAAAGTTCATGGCAGACGGCTGATCCTCCCTGTCCCTGGTTCTGCTGGAGGTTTCTTCCCATTAAAAGGGAGTTTTCTTTCTTTATAGCTCAGGGTTTGCTCATAGGGGATCATCTTCTTGTGATTTCTCTGTAATACTGTAGGGTCTTTACCTTACAGTCTAAAGCACCTTGAGGTGACTGTTGATGTGATTTGGCGCAATATAAATAACACTGAACTGAACAGAACTGTAGCTTAGTGGTAGACCGTAATGAAATGAATAGCTTAACTTTTTACCATGAAATTAACTACTGAAACTACAGAATTTGCTAATTATTTCCTCTATCATTGCATTTCTCCTGTAAGTGAACCTCTTTTAAACCGCCCTGTTCTCTTTTTTCTTTCCCTCTAACCCTTTTGCAGGCATGCTCAGTCACTAGAAAAACAAACAAAGTACTGGTTTTACTGTCATGGTTTACTGGAACACAAAGAATTTGAGGAACATTAATTGCACATGTGCTTTTCTTACTGTGACATGTTGAAATGTGTGCTACAAGAAAGGACTGTGCATTCCTCAATCAGCCACCCACACAGAAACAGTGCTATGGTGGATGAATGTAGTGAATCTGCATGTAAAGAAGAATCACAAAGGTAAAGGCCAACTGGCAAAACCCTTTGAAAGTAGCTCCAAAACACACACGCATTAAGACAGTTTTGTCCACTTCGCAACAATAAACTGGGCTTTATTTAACCTATTTAGCTCATCAATTGATCTGGATACAAGAAGAAAAAAAAACGTTGTATTATATGTGCATTATTTGACATGACAAGACTGGTTTCATTCATCTACTGAAAGCGGGAACCATACATATCAGCGGGGCATTGTCACTGCTTATGGTCCAGTATACATATAAGATGCTGTGTCCAAATTAACCCCTTAATGCCTAGTGTATCATATTTGATACATACAGTTTTTTGAAAGTTTTTGGGACTTCAACATAATCAGTGTGAATTTCCTCCCCTGAAAAACCTAAATAAATTGCACAATATATTTCTAAGCAATCAAAAAAACCCAAAACAAAACAGATAAGCAAATATGATACAAATTAAATGTCATATATGGAAATTGAAATGTGATTCAATTTTTAAACAATTAAATAAAATTAAACAAAAGAAGGTTAAATAAACAATATTTTCAGAAAAATGTTATTTTCTGGCAATTATTTCATGATTCAGGTTTTAAAGGGTTAAATGCTGCAAACACTTCTGGTCCATGTTGACACTGACTGCATCATTATTTAGTCATCGTTGGTCAAACCAGTGTGCTCATCTGCTCTACTGACAATGTTATTATCAAGCCATCTGTGGATTTAGTTTAGATCGTTACAACTTTTAATAAAAGGTTAACTGCTTTCACTTTCACCCATTAGCACTAATTATAATAGAATGACCTTTAGATAAATCCACCTGACATTTAAGCCAAGGAGCTGCCTTTACTAGGTGAGTCAACTGCTAAAATAGGGTAAGCAGCTAATCTTATCTGGACGGGTGTGTTATGGAAGCCAGTGTTAGATGAACACGCCTTGACATGGCTTAGCTCATTGATGTGAACGTTTTTCAAGCATCTGTCACAAGAATAAATGAACTTCCAGAGAAATGCAGAATAAAAGCTTTTGGTTGTTTAAATACAGTAATGAGTAAATCAAAAGTCTTGAGTCACCCCACATTTCTTTATATTTTATATTTTGTTGGAAAAATGGGAAATTGCTGCTGTTATTAAAATATGTGCAAACATGCATGAAAATAGAGTGTATAAGGCAAGAGTTTGTACAATTCTAATGACCATGAAAGTCTATATTTTCTTGCCATTCCTTGAAGTAGTCTTGAGGAATAGTTCTCTAGGCTTCTTGGAGGATTTTTAAAGCTTTTCTTTGGATGTTGGCTGCCTTCTGTTCTGTCGAGATGATCCCACTCTGCTTTAATATTGTTGAGATTCTGGCTCTGGGGAGATCAATCCATACTTGTTGAAATGAAGCCCCAAACCATGACAGAGACTCCATGGTGTTTTATAGATGGCTTTAGACACTCACTGTTGTACATCCTCGACACATGCTGACAATGTGAACAAAAAAACGTCAAATTTGCATTCGTCACCCCATAAGAACTGTTGCGACAGATTTTCAGTCGAGACTTTAAACAACAAAGACATGATGTGTTTGCACTTTACTGGATTCAAATGTGATTACATAACAATCATTATTACACTGAAATACAAATAAAGTTTACAACCTTGTGTCTTAACATTTTATTTTGAAAATAAAGCATATTCTGTGACCAGGAGATAGCAGCCTTCATACTCAGTGTGTTTAATTTAAAAAAAAAAGAAAGAAAAGAAAAAAAAAGTTTCACATCAGATCCCACAAAATGAAAAACAATATTTTCATAATGTGATGTATTACAGATGTTCATTTGAAAAACATATTTCACATATATGTGAAAAAAAAAAAACTCAGTTTATTTAAAAATTGAAAAGGAAACAAGAGAAAGGTTTCTGTGGCTGAATGCTACTATGTTGTGTCTGATATAATCAGACTTGTTCACCAGCAGGTTTTACATGCTATCTGTGGTTTGGAGCCGCATTCTTGAATCCGAGATCTGTTTGAACACAATCCAGGATAATACCGAGAGGTCAGTCGTGCTTTGTGAGGACACACACAAACAGGTCGTCAGTTCCTTTGTAATGCACATGTACTTACTCAGGCACGTCTTTGCAGCTGTATGTTATCCCTGTATGCAGCGCTTTCTTTAATTTCTGCAGGGATGCGTTTTTGCAGTTTGATCTGAACAAATGGAACAGAAGCAGTGAATGTAGGCTCAGTTTTAAAATATTAATGCCCCGATTGGCCATTCTGATGTAAATTAAACAAATAAAGGACAACATTGTGGTGAAAGATTTGCATATAAGAGGAAATCTTACTTGGCATTCTTCTGTATGACCATAACAACATTCAGGCTCCTGACCTTAGGGGCTTTAAACCTCGTCACCTCAACTTTTGCAAAAGTACTGAAGAGTAAAAAAACAACAACAACCCAAAATTCAAACCACAACTGTAAAACCACTTAAAATTAACTTGACGAGTGAGATGGATTTTAAAAATGCTGCTCTTAAGATGAGGAACTGAGTCTGTGACTGCTACCTGCAAGCTGCCATCTTCAAAGCAGCTCAGATGAATCAAGACATTGATAAAACAGTTAGACAGAATCAGTCTGCTATCACTTTGTGACTAAATGAGGCCAATTTGGCAATCTGTTTGTGATTCATTGATGAAAACCACAAATCTGTTACCATCTGTTGCAATTTTGTTGCTGTCGGCGCACATAGCATTTTACGTTAGACAACAATTCAGACCCAGTGTTTTGTGTTTTTTTTTATAAATTTATATTATTTGATTTAGTGTTATTCATGGTTTTGGTTCTTATTCTTAATCTCTCTGTGTTATATTTTTTGTTTCCAGTCTTTAGCTTTTTGTTACGGTGCCTTCCCCATGTTCCACGTGTTCTCTATGTTCCCTGTCTCCCCGGTCAGTCATGTCTCCATGTCTCAATGTCAACTGTGGGTCTTTGTGAATGTCTCACACTTCCTGTTTTAATTTGACTGTCTGATGTCCCATGCTCAGTGTTTCAGTGTTGCTCCCTCCTTGTTTCGTTTTATCAGATTAGTCCCAGCTGTGTTTCCCTCCTGTTTCCCATTCCCTCATTACTCCCTTGTGTATTTAAGCCCTGTGTTTCTCTCTGCCCAGTTTTGCGTCGTTTCCTCATGTTGCTGTGTGTCTCTCCCACAGGCCTCGTTTCCCTGAGTGGTTTTAGTTTGCTTCCTGTTTAGGTTATGTTTTGTGTTTTCTACGCTCGGATGTTCACAGCAAGTAAAGCTGCCTCTTTGAGTTTATCCCCGTGTGTGCTGAGTTCTGCTTTTGGGTCCACATCTTGCCTGCTACAGCACTAACCTTGACAGAACTACTTCAGTTGCAGATTGTTAAAAAACTTTCCAACCTGATTTGGTTTGTAGAACAAGAACATTTTTTTTACAACAACCTTTGACCTTGTGCAAGAAGGACAATAATAACTGTTTTTTAAATAGAACTTTTACTCTGCAGTGGCAAGGCAGACATAAAAGTCACTTTTTGCACTTAGTCATTTAAAAAAATATGAAAAAAGTGATGAATAAAGAACTAAATACAAAGGCAAAGCAAAGCCTTAAGATTCCTTGAAACTAGGTGCATATGCCAGTGTTACATTAGTGGCTCTCATTAACATTATAATGGAAGACATTTCTTTATTTTTCTCACTAAAAGTCATAAAACTGTGGGAGAAGCAGAAGCAGCTCTACCTTGTAGGATCGAATGGTGTGATGGTGGACCCGCTTAGCATTGCCGTGACATCACCACAGGCAACATCTGCATACTGTACAGACACACAAAGGGGATTTTGAAGAAACACTCACTCATCTTGTAAGAAAAAACTAAAAAATAACACGAGATTTGGTCCTGAAATGAATGTTAGTTATTTGTCTCTTCCTGTAAAGTGAGGTTTATCAATCAGAAGTCACTATTGATGTGTTAATGGAGCATGGGACATATGAAGTCCCTTATTTTGAGAAATAACTGTACTTCATACTCCACAGATTGATATTATGCAAACATCTTTGTATTCAAAACAGGAAGTATGGGGCTGCAACATATAACTGAGGTTTTACCATTTTTAACTGTCCAAATGTTGTAATAATTTTTAAAGTTGTACTACTTTCCAAAGATTTGCTAAGAGTGTCAAGAAATGGTAGATTTAGGTGACATATGTAACAAATTCCAGGATGAGCCCTCGCTAGTTTTGGGAGAGGTCACTGTTAAGTAGTAGCGATGTAATCCAGGGGAAAAAAAGCATTTCATTTATAAAAACATTTAATTCTCTCACTTAATTTTATATTTTCCTTACTTTATGGTATTTTTGTGCTTTCTGAATTAATGCCAAAATGAAAAGCTACTTTATTTAAAGCTATGTGGCACTTGCTTTTGCAGCATGCGTCCCATAAGTAAAGGATCTTTACAAATTAATTAAACTCAAATTTATTGCAGTGCAGCATCTCTAGCTGAATGTATTTTTGAATGTATTTTTGGAGGGGTCATTTCCTTTAACAACTGAAATGCTTAACCTTTAATCTCATGGGCTCTTTTGAATGTGTGGGCTGCCACTCACTCAGGAGAGCGCTCCATGGAGACCGACACAAAACCTCATTGACAGACAACGAGACGTGAACATTTCTTTTCTCCAACACCATCACTTATACTCAGGAGGGATTTGCTGCACTCTGCAGTCCACTTGTGTGCTATTTTAAGCAATGCAGGACCTCAGGACTATACTGTTTAACAGAGAGAAAGAAAATGTAGTAAATTCATGTTGAAAACTTACAGCAGCAGAGGCACGAATCCAAAATGAGTCAACAGGGTTGTTTTCACAATTTCTTGGGCAACCAGTAGTGAAGGTACCTATGACAACAATATACATATTTACTTGGGTTAGCTCCTCAAAACAACGTGCAATAATGAACTTCAGTGTCCCTCTAATAATCCAATATTAATTTTAATTTGCCAATTGGTGTAATTCCAGATTTCCCTTGTAGGTCTGGTGCTAGTAACAATACATAAAAATAAAATAAAAAAACAGAGGCTGTCAGGATGCTAAATTCACTCCCTGCTATCACCCACCCCCCAAACATACAAACTCTGACTCACCACCATTGCCCTTTCACTGACTACCCCACAGACACTCGCACATGAACCTGCCCACAATCATTCAATCACTATGATTGTGTTGGACACTGCTGTTTAAACACTTGTATAGTATTGTATTGTGTTGTACATAAGACACACTGTGTGTGTGTGTGT